TGAAATGAAAAGACCCCAAGGGACTGCGACGACCAAGCACCTCTACCTTGAATCCTTACGATCTCGCTTTAACTCTGCTCAAGTCCGATATCTCCAATACCTAGCTCTGCACAAAAATATGCAGAAGTATAGTACGAGTACTCCGCGGTCGGTACCCAGTAAGTATCAAGACTAACCTCAATGGAGTAGAGACAAGGTACAGTCAAGACACTCACTAGTCTAATAACATGCGCAATATAATATACAAAATAATATGAAACAAATAACATCAAGGCAACATAAAACAACCAATGATATGTACAGTAAGACAATAAAATTACCATTTAATATCGCCCAACAATTAATAAATACAATGAAACCCAGTTAAATCAAGTTCTTCAATTAAATATCTTTCACATATAATTCTTACTAATAAAACTCTTTTTCAAATATAATTTCGTCGAATAAATATCTTTCAAATACAATTCTTTCATATAATTCTTCTTGAATAAAAATCCTTTCAAATAAATATTTTGGATATAATTCTTTCGATTAAAGAGTCACCATGTGACACCTCGTTTCAAAATCATAAAAATACGGGTCTCAGCCCATTTTTATATTTTTTGTAAACAAGGGTCTCAGCCCATTTTTTATATTTTTACGGCACCTCGTGCCCATAATTAAATCATCATATTACCCCTGCACCTCGTGCCCTCATTTTATATCATAACTGCACGGACAATTCACGTGCCAAATATCATTATCATTTCATCACAGCACCTCATGCCCACATTTCATATTACAACTATACGTACAATTCACGTGCCAAATATCCTCATCATTTACTCACGGCACCTCATGCCCACATTTCATTTTATAATCCGCCTGGCAATAACCACAGGCTCTCAATTTTAACATAAATCAGATTGTTATCAATTTACCAACAACAAGACAAATTGCATAAGGTATAAAAATAAACACAAGAAAATCACAACATCACATGAAAATCATCAACACCACAACCCCACGTCATCACATATCGTCCCTGACAATAGCCACCCTTATCACTCATATAGCCCTTATCGCTCCGCCCAGACAATATCAATAGCCAACCTTATCGCTCCTATTTCCACCCTTATCGCTCCTATAGCCACCCTTATCGCTCCGCCCAGACAATATTCTAACAAACACAACAACAGTGAAATGCCACCCTTATACCCACATAATATCAACGGTGAAATTCCACTCTTATCTCCCCAAAATAATAACTCACACAACACAATAATTTACATAGAAAATTATCACTGCAACATAATAAAATCAATTCATATCACAATTTACCCAATGGCCACAACCAACTTCCAAAGATATAACAAAATCAATTAATTTCACAACAAATAGCCCAAGGCTCCACAAAATGTATATAACACCCAAAAACAATCAATAAAGATAGAAAATTACTCAGCATAAAGCAAAGCCTTCATTAATGTAAATTTAGATAATTATATTAACATTTCTTCTTAACCTTGCTTAATTAGTTATTTGCAGAGAAACAATCCATAATGAAATTAAATTCCTAGAAATATTAACCATCAAACTCACGAAATTCACATAAATATACAAGTAATAATTTCATCAAATTGTCATATAAAAACAAATTCAATAACAAGGATTTAGGCATGGCAAACAGATGATATAATAATTATCCACGATTACCCAATTTACTACACAATAATACCTAAGACTTTAATTCAATAAAATTTTGCACTTATAAGCCCGAGTAGGTACTCGTCACCTCGCGTACACGGCTTTTCACATTTCACAAATGGCACGTAAGACTCGATGCCTAAGGTGTAATTCCCCCACTCGAGGTTAAGCAAGACACCTACCTTTTTGAAGTTATGCTGATATTTNGAGTTCAACCATACAAATTTTATCGAATTCCAATAACAACTCGACCTCCAAATCTTAAATTTTTTTTTTCAAATCCCTAAGTTCAAACCTCTGATTTACACCTCAAAAACATGTAATCTAATCGGATTATTCGATGATAATTCAATATTATGGAGTTGAAATGATCACAAGGGACTTAACTCAAGTTTTCCCGTGAAAACCTTGCTCAAATATCGCCCAACCCGAGCTTGAAATGCCCAAAAAGGGCAAAAGCTCGGAACCCCTCTGTTTTTATATTGCCTAGGGGTTTTCGTACCCGCGATGATTTCTTCGCACTTGCAGCTTCGCACCCGCGGAAAAAGTTTTCGCACCCACGGTGCCTGGCCAGCCCATGCATTTTCCGCTTCCGATACTAATTCCTCGCATCCGCGAGCTCGCACCTGCGGCCCTTTTTCGCGCAGGTGCGATCATACCAGAAGCCCAGCTGCTTCAGCTCCTCCTCCAAATTCAAATTTGATCCGTTAGGCATCCGAACTCACCCGAGGCCTCCCGGGACCTAAACCAAATATACCATTAATTCCTAAAACATCATACGAACTTAGTCAAATTCTTAAATCACATCAGACAACATCAAAACGACGAATCGCACCTCAAATAAAAATCTACGAACTTTGAACTTTCAAATTCTATATCTTGTGCCGAAACACATCAAATCAATTCGGAATGACTTCAAATTTTGCACACAAGTCATAAATGACATAACAGACCTATTCAAATTTCCAAAATCGGATTCCGACCTCGGTATCAAAAAGTCAACCCCCCAGTCAAACTTCCCAAAAATTCAACTTTCGGCATTTCGAGCTTAATTCCACTACGGACCTCCAAATAATTTTTCAGACGCGCACCTAAGTCCAAAATCATCATACGGGGCTATTGACATCATCAAAATTTCATTTCTGAGTCGTTTGCTCAAAGGTCAACTCTCTGATCAACTCTTTTTATTTAAGCTTCAAATTAAGGATTGTTCTTTTAATTTAATTCTGAATCTTCAGTAAATCAAACTTGACCACAACCAGCGAGTCATAATATATATTGCAAAGCTGCTCGAGACTTTAAGTCACTAAACGAGACATAAATTCTTAAAACGACAAGTCGGGTCGTTATACAGATGGAGGATGAAATTTTCATCTCTCAAGAAAGCTATACGAAGGAGATCTTGAAGAAGTTCAACATGCTCGATTGCAATCCCGTGAACACACCGATGGAGAGTGGGACAAAATTGTCCAAGTTTGATGAATCAAAAGTCTTGTGGGAAGTTTGAGGTACTTGACTTGTACCAGGCCAGATATACTCTTTGCAGTTGGAGNTTTTTCAAAAGTCTTGTGGGAAGTTTGAGGTACTTGACTTGTACCAGGCCAGATATACTCTTTGCAGTTGGAGTAGTAAGCCGCTTCATGAAAGCTCCTACCTCCACTCACTTGAAGGTCACTATAAGAATTCTTCGTTGCCTAAAAGGTACGATCGACTTTGAGTTATTTTATTCTTCTTCTAATGATTTCCACCTTATGGGATTTTGTGATATTGGTTATACGGAAGATATTGATGATAGAAAAAGCATAACTGGCTTTGTGTTTTTCTTGGGTGATTCTGTTATTTTTTGGAGTTCAAAGAAACGATCCATAGTTACTCTCTCAACTTGTGAAGCCTAATATATAACAGCAACAGTATGTACCTGTCATGCTATTTGCCTAAGAAGATTATTGAAGGAGATCAATTTGGCACAAATTAAAGCTACAGAGATTTGTATTGATAACAAATCTGCACAGGCACTCGCCAAGAATCCGGTATATCATGATCGAAGCAAGCATATAGATACAAGATATCACTTCATCAGAGAGTGCATCGCCAAGAAGGAAGTCAAGCTCAAATATGTGAAGTCTCATGATCAGGCAGCAGAAATCTTTACAAAGCCTCTTAAGTTTAATGATTTTCAGAGATTGAGATCAAGTCTCGGAATATAACAACAACCCAGTATAATCCCACTAGTGGGGTCTGGGGAGGGTAGTGTGTACGCAGACCTTACCCCTACCCTGAGTAGAGAGGCTGTTTCCGATAGACTCTCGGCTCCCTTCCTCCAAGAACTCCCCACCTTGCTCTTGGGGTGACTTGAACTTACAACCTCTTGGTTAGAAGTGGGGGGTGCTCACCACTAGAACAACCCACTCTTGGAATAAAAAAGAAAAATCAAAATTGAGGGAGAGATTTGTGGGGCTCATATTAAAGAACAACAAAAAAGAAATGAAGAAAAATGGGATGAGAGATGCCTAACTTTGTTGAAGAAAATGGGAGGTGCCTAACTTTGTTGAAGAAAATGGAAGGTGTCTAACTTTGTTAAAAAGTTTTATGACTAAATCAATATTAAGTCATCTTCTTTGTAGTAGTTGGATGTCATCTCTTACCATAAATAGAGGCATCCATTCTTCATTTCAATTACACCAAAATAAGAGAGAAGCAATAGAAGTTAGAGAGAATTTCAATTACACCAAAATAAGAGAGAAGCAATAGAAGTTAGAGAGAGTAATCCACAGATTGTAGTTTGTGAGATAAATAGTGAGTGTGAGTAACATTGTAGTGAGGTGTTTTAAATAAATAGTGTTATTTCTTTCAAGATTGTAGTAGTCTCTTGACACTACTACATTGTAATATTATAGTGATTATATTGCTTTGTTCGGGTATTGTATTTTACCCATTAAAAGAGTTGGTGTCGTTATTATTCTCTTGTGTTATTATTATTTGTCGTGGATATTATTCCTGGGTAGATTATTATTTTTCCCAACAATAACAGCATCATAAAGACGAGAAAGTAATTAAATGAAAAGCAAAAGCAATAACCATGAAAAATCATAGGAATAATAATCACTAGCAGTCTAAGATAAAAATACTATCAGACTAGCCTCACATAGGTACGAAGTAGAATGATTATAACTGAGAACGAAACAGCATCTCTAATTAGAATAGTTTCAATCATACAAAAATAATTTACATTTAATGTAACTAAGAAAAATTGATGTGCTGAAATAGGAGAAAAAAAATTAATAATAGACGCAATGAAACTAAACCAAAATGTGCTAAACAGCGAGAGGATTCAACACAGTCCCTATGAACAAAATGACACCACTAACATCATCTTTCACAAGAAATAAGAAGGGATGATCAGCAATAAAGTCTATCTCCTCTTTAATCATCATACGTGAGCACCCACAAATCATTGTAGCGGCAGTAATTGCCGCAGTTTCTGTACCTTCCTCATTGACTTCAATAAACGACTTGTGAAAAACTTTTGTTACTATCAGAGGGTAAATATCGTCCAGTATCTCAGTGAGACCACGACCAGAGTATGGCGATATGAGACCATCGCCATCGCCAGTGAAAGGCAATGTGAGGCCAAGTTCTTTTAGAACCTTGGAAGCTTCAAAATTAAAAGTTATTACGAATTTGGGAATAAGAAGCCTGCGCACATCAGCTGTCTTAGATGGTAGATGACGATTTAAGAATTCAGGTTCTGAAATCATTTTCTCCCATATAGTTGATAAGCCGTCATTGGAATCAGGGAGAATAAAATACATGCAAAAGCTAGTATTGTGATAGCCATATTTATAAGGAAGTCCCAACACTTTAAAGCCATCATAGGCTGCTGCTACCGTGGAAAATGGGGGTGTAATATGGCCAAATTTTCAGGACATATGCCATGACATAATATTCATTATAATAAAATTTGTGGATCGTGACATTTGCCATGACATAATATCCATTATTAGGCCAAGAATTTTTTGTTATAAATAGAGGAGTTTCTCCTCATTTGCAAACACACAAATTCAAGAGTTTTTCACTCTTGTCTTTCTTTTTCCTCCTTTATTTCATTATAGAGTATTTTGTAAGAGAGTGAGTGTTGGGAAACACTTGTGTGAACCCTTTCTTTGGAGTGATCTTGTGAGGTTATTCTCTTTGGATATTTGGGATTAATTAGACTATTTACTCTAATTTTGTACTCTTGTTGGTATAGTGAAATTGCTCCTCTCCGCTTGTGGACGTAGGTCACCTTGACCGAACCACGTCAAATTTGTGTCTTCTTTATATTCTTTAATTGTCGTTATTATCAACTTCCATTGTCTTTGTTATTGTCATTATACCATTGTTTGGCTAAGTTCCGCACTATCCGGGTTCCCGATCCTAATAAATTGGTATCAGAGCCAGATCTAACCGGGTTAGTTTAAATAGTCAAAATGACTCTAACAAAGTCTTATGTTGAGAAATTTGACCGAAGTGCAAACTTCAGAATGTGGCAATTAAAGATGGAAGTTATCCTAATTCAGGATGGCTTAGATTTGGGACTGCAAGGAAAGGAGAAGATGCCGGATAAAATGACGGACGAGGAGTTTGCCGTCATAGACAAAAAGACAAAAGCAGGTATTATTTCAAATCTTTCAAATGAGGTTTTGCGTGAAGTTGCAGCAGAAAGCTCAGTCAAAGGCATATAAAAAAGCTTAAAACCCTATATATGAAAAGAACAGTAGAAAATAGGCTTTACCTAAAGCAAAAACTCTACACTTTCGTATGGCTGAAGGTACCTCTATACTTACTCATCTTGATATTTTTGATTCTCTTCTTATGGATTTAAGTAACATAGATGCTGAAATCAAAGACGAGGATCAAGTTGTGTTATTGCTTGTTTCCTTACCTCAGTCGTTTAAACATATAAGAGATACTATGCTTTATGGAAAGGATAATATCTCTTATAAAGATATCAAATCTATTTTGAAATCAAAAGAACAAATAGATAGAGATATTACTAGGGAAACTAGTGGGAACCAAGGGGAAGGCTTATTCATAAGAGGTAGATCCAATAAGAAAGATTCAAGTAGTGAGAAACCTAAATCAAGGTCAAAATCCAGATACAGAAATGTCATGTGCAAATATTGTCATAAGAAAGGTCACATTATTTCTGAATGCTTTAAATTGAAAAACAAAGAAAAGCATACAGAAAAGAAAAATGAGCACAAAAATACTAACACTGCCGAAGCAAGTGTAGCTGCTGATGAGACTGAGGGAACTATTTTTTTAGCAACTAATAATAGTTTCAAATCTAACAATGAGTGGATTTTAGATTCAGGTTGTTCTTATCATATGTGTCTCAGTCGTGATTTATTTACCACATATGAATCTATTGGAGGTGGAGTTGCAAAGTTATTGGAAAAGGTACAGTCCGAATCAAAATGCACGATGATGTGGTGAGAACTCTCACCGATGTTAGACATGTTCCTGAGTTGAAGAAAAATCTCATCTCTTTGGGCACTCTAGAATCTCTTGGGTACAAGTACACAGGTGAAAGTGGAGTTCTGAAAATTTCTCATGGTACTCTTATGATCATGAAAGCACGCAGATCAGGTACATTGTATACTCTTTTGGGATCTAGTGTTACAGGTGCTGCTGCAGTTTCAATATCAGATAAATCAGATTCTGACATCACCAAATTGTGGCATATGCAATTGGGGCATATGAGTGAAAAAGGTCTTTCCATCCTCAGAAAAAGAGGTCTCTTATGTGGCCAAAGTACTAGAAATATGGAGTTCTGTGAACATTGTGTGTTCGGGAAGCAGAAAAAAGCCAGCTTCAAATCTCCAGTGATTCATTGAATAAAAGGTACTTTGGATTACATTCATTCAGATCTTTGGGGTCCTTCACGTACCCCATCAAAAGGTGGTGCCAGGTATATGTTAACTTTCATTGATGATTATTCAAGGAAAGTTTGGGTTTATTTCCTGAAAAATAAAAGTGATGTTTTCTTAAATTTCAAAGAATGTAAAATTTTGATTGAGAAGCAAACATAAAAACAGGTTAGGCGGCTTAGAATAGATAATGGCTTAGAATTTTGTAATGATGAATTCAATAAATTTTGCAAAAATGAAGGAATTGCTCGATATCGTACTGTGAGAATGACACCTCAGTAAAATGGTATGGCAGAAAGGATGAATAGAACTCTTTTGTAAAGGGCTCATTGTATGATTTCAAATGCTGGGTTGACAAACGCCGGGCAGAAGCTATCTCTACAGCTTGTTATATTGTCAACCGAGCTCCTTCTGCACCTTTGAACTTTAAGACTCCAGAGGAAGTGTGGTCAGGTACTCCTGCTAATTATTCTGATTTAAAGATATTTGGTTGCCCTGCATATATGCATGTAAATGATGGAAAATTAGAGCCAAGGGCTAAAAAGTGCATTTTCCTTGGGTATGCATCTGGGGTGAAAGGATACCAACTATGGTATCCTGATCCCATGGCACCAAAATTTATAATTAGCAGAGATGTAACCTTTGATGAATCCTCTATGTTACATTCTAGAAAAGAGTCTTCCAGTTCTTGTGATACAGATAAAGGAAAGTGTATACAGAACCAAGTGGAGATTAAGATTGGCATTCCTTTTGAGCCAAACTCATTAACTTTGGAGCAAAATACAGTTGAAACTCCTGAAGTTGAGACTGAAGCTGAAATTCCTGAAGTTGAGACTCCTGAAGTTGAACCAGAAGAAGAGGAGTATTCTATAGCCAAACATAGACCAAGAAGAGAAGGTAAACAACCATTAAGGTTTGGAGATTATGTTGCATTTGCTTTTTCAGTTGCACAGGAAACTGAAGAAATTGGAGAACCATCAAAATATTCAGAAGCAGTTTCTGGTGCTGACTCAGCCAAGTGGCTGATTGCAATGAATGAAGAAATTGAGTCTCTCCACAAGAATGGTACTTGGTCTCTTGTGAAGCCGCCATCAGGAAAAAAAATTGTTGGTTGCAAATGGGTCTTCAAGAAAAAGGATGGCATTCCAGGGGTTGAGGATGCGAGGTATAAGGCACGATTAGTTGCAAAGGGCTATAGTCAGGTATAAGGAGTTGATTTTAATGATATTTTCTCACATGTTGTTAAATATAGCTTTATCCGTGTCTTGCTTACCTTCGTTGCCATGTATGATTTGGAATTAGAACAACTTGATGTTAAGACAGCTTACTTACATGGCGAACTTGAGGAACAAATATACATGCATCAACCCGAAGGATTTGAAATTGAAGGAAAAGAAGATCATATTTGCTTGTTGAAGAAATCCTTGTAAGGATTAAAACAGTCTCCAAGACAATGGTATAAAAGGTTTGATTCCTTTATATTGGGTCATGGTTATTCGAGGAGCATGTATGATAGTTGTGTTTACTTCCGGAAGTTAAATGATGGTTCATTTGTGTACCTATTATTATATGTTGATAACATGCTCATTGCTGCTAAGGATTTAACAGAAATTCACAATTTGAAAAGTCACCTGAAAAGTGAATTTGAGATGAAAGATTTGGGAGCAGCTAAGAAAATCCTTGGCTTGGAGATCAAAAGAGATCGAAAAGCCAACATGTTATTTCTGACCCAGAAGAAGTACTTGGAGAAAGTCTTGGAGAGGTTTGGCATGAAAGATGCTAAACCAGTTAGTGCCCCTCTTGCTGCTCATTTTAAGTTATCATCTGCTCAGTCCCCGCAGTCAGAGGAAGAAGAGAGGTACATGGCACATGTTCCTTATTTCAGTGCAGTCGGCAGTATTATGTATGCAATAGTTTGTACACGTCCAGACATTTCACAAGCAGTGAGCGTGGTAAGCCGGTATATGGATTGCCCTGGTAAAGCACATTGGCATGCTGTGAAATGGATTCTCAGATACTTGCGAGGTACTTCAAACACATGTTTGGAGTTTGGGAGAAATACTAACACTTTGGTTGGTTTTGTAGACTCAGATTATGCAGGTGATCTTGACAAAAGAAGATCACTGACAGGCTATGTATTTTGCATCGGTGGTTGCGCTATTAGTTGGAAAGCTACATTACAACGTGTAGTAGCTTTATCTACTTCCGAAGCAGAATATATGACAGTGACCGAGGCGATCAAAGAAGCTTTATGGTTGAAGGGTCTATTTGCGGAACTCAGTTTATACCAAGGTGCTATTACAATTTTCTGTGATAGTCAAAGTATCATTCACTTGACTAAAGATCAAATGTATCATGAGAGGACGAAGCACATTGATATAAAGTATCATTTCATCCGAGAAACCATTGTTGAAGGAAAAGTCTCTGTTCAGAAGATCAACACTATAGACAATCCTGCTAACATGTTTACAAAACCTCTTCCAGTATCCAAGTTCAAGCTTTGCCTGAACTTGATTGGTATTTACGAAGAATAATTTTGCCCATTGGGGTTTTTGCGGAGAACGTGAAGCAAATTTACTATATATAAGCTGAAATTAGGCCAAGGTGGAGATTTGTAATATGACCAAATTTTTATAACATTTGCCATGACGTAATATCCATTATAAAAAAATTTGTGGATCATGACATTTTCCATGACATAATATCCATTATTAGGCCAAGGATTTCTTGTTATAAATAGAGGAGTTTCTCCTCATTTGCAAACACACCAATTCAAGAGCTTTTCACTCTTGTCTTTCTTTCTCCTCCTTTATTTCACTATAGAGTATTTTGTAAGAGAGTGATTG